TATTCAAGCTATCAACAACAAAATATATTTATGGGATATTGTATAAAAATGGCAGAGACATTGATTTAATACTTAACGTATTTTCTTTTGGGGTTGCAGGATGAAGTTCATAAATACGTACAAATGATGGGTGGTCGAGTATACAGAGACCTTAATGTATCAGTAACTCACCTCATTGCAGGAGAAGTTGGTAGCAAAAAGTATTTAGTGGCTGCAAACCTAAAGAAACCTATTTTGCTTCCCTCTTGGATAAACACACTTTGGGAGAAGTCACAAGAGAAGTAAGATATTTATATTCTAGATTTGAAGAAATGATGCATTTAGTCATTTTGGCATACTCTGGGTTTTCATAGGGGAAGCTTTATGGTATCCTCTTTGGATTTGTTATTCAAGGACAGAAATGGGGTCATTTCTCCATTGAAAACAGAAGAGCAGAATCTGCAAGCTCTTATTATCAAGATGTAAGTTGACAGAATGGGCTACTGGTGTTAGCATTAGCTACAGGGTAAGAAATGCTTTGAAAATGAATGCAGGAAATGTTTCTAAAATAATAAAATCAGTTTGGCAACTGTAGCTCTTAGGTTCCATTATCCTCTAACACTATACCTATATATTAAGATAGAGAATAAATTAGCCATTTTGATAGTTGTATTCTCTCCCCAAAAGGGGTATCAGTAAGAGTATTCATATATAAACATATGTAAGCCATCAACTGAGACGTGATCAGTAAATAAATGTTAATTGAGCCCATTTTATGCATCTGGCCTGAGCTAGGCATTAGACATAGGTAGCAAGCAAAACAGGGATAGCATCCCTTCACTTATGGAGCTTAGAACCTATTTTAAGGGGCACACTTAAGTTTTCCCTGAAATTAGATTAACAACCAGAAGTCCAAGTACCACAAAATTGACATTTTTCTGGGCTTGTTTTCAACACCATCTTAAATATGTCTCCATGTCGGCAACCCTCATTCTCAACCTGACTACATCGTCAGCACATCTGCCTGGTATAGCAACAGAATGATAATGATATTTCTGTTGGTATTCTGCCAAAAATCATTGCTTTTACTTATATAGTATAATGGAAGGATTAAAAAGTCCATTTTTCTAGTAGGCAACCAAAGATCCTTTGGGTTTTTAAGTAGAGATTCAGACTTAAAATTTTGAAAATTAAACCACTTTGATCAGCAAGGGCTTATTTAGAGTTAATGAAATATATATTTTTCTCTTAATTTTATTTCAGAGATTCTATCTGAAACATTAGTTTTTATTAGAGATGTGGTATTGAGTTAGATGAGCAATTAGTAAGAATTATGAGTGTGTTTGTTCTCCTTTTCTTAAAAATGATTATAAATCTTAAAAAATGACAACAGTAGTGATATTTGTGTTGTTTGTCATTATCTGGTAAATTCAAAACTATCTGGAAAATTTAATATATTCTCTTTTTTAACCACTTGTTTCCCCCAGAAAAATAACTAGATATACTGATATCAACATGGAAGACTTCAAGTGCCCTATTTTTCTTGGTTGCATCATCTGTGTGACTGGCTTGTGTGGTGCAGACAGGAAGGCAGTTCAGCAGCTGACAGTTAAGCATGGAGGTCAATACACGGGACAATTGAAAATGAATGAATGCACGCACCTCATTGTGCAAGAACCAAAAGGTAAAACTATGCTTTGCAAATGCACAAATGCCAAACTATCTCTAGTACTTAACATTTTGAAATCTTTTTTAAAAATTTAAAATTTTTAATTATTATGGGTATGTAATAGTTTTGTATCTTTATGGGGTACATGTGATGTTTTGATACAGGCATGTAATGTGAATTAATCAAATCAGAGTAATTGGTGTATCCATCATTTCAGATATTTAACATTTCTTTGTGTTAGGAACATTCCAGTTTCACCGTTTTAGTTAAAGTGTGCCCTAACTTATTGTTGATTATAGTCACTTTGTTGTGCTATCAAAAATATTGTTCATTCTAACTATGTAACTATATTTTTGTACCCATTAATCATCCCCACTTTATCCATCCCTCCCCACTACCCTTCCTGTCCTCTGGTAACCATCATTCTACTCTCTGTCTCTGATCTCCATGAGATCAATTGTTTTTAATATTTAGCTCCCGAATATGAGTGAGAACATGCGAGATTTGTCTTTCTGTGCTTGGCTTATTTCACTTAACATAATGTTTTCCAGTTATATCCATGTTGTTTCACATGGCAGGATTTTACATTTTAAAATCTTTATAGAACATCTTTCGCTTATAACGTGTCCTTAATCTAGTTTGATGTTGTTTTCCCTAAGATCTTGAGAAAGATAGTTTGGGTCATATTCTATAGGAAAATTATTTGAACATCCTAGTGTTTATCCAAGTCATTGAATACATATAAAAAAACAAAAACTTCTAGTGATGTTTTATCTAAGATTACTATTAGATCTTTTGACATAAAAAAATTCCTCACACAGTTACCAAATACTTAAAAGAAGTTTGGCTTTGGGAGGCCGAGGTGGGAGGATTGCTTCAGGCCAGGAGTTTGAGACCAGCCTGAGCAAAAGTGAGACCCTGTCTCTACAGGAAATAGAAAAATTATCCAGGTGTGGTGGTGCTGGCCTGTAGTCCCAGCTACCTGGGAGGTGGAGGCAGAAGAATCGCCTGAGCCCAAGAGTTTCAGGTTGCAGTGAGCTATGCTGACACTGCTGCACTCTAGCCCTCTATCTTGGGCGACAGAGCAAGACCCTGTCTCAAAAAAAGAAAAAGAAAGAAAGAAGCTGTTTGGGGTGAATAACAAGAAAACCAATAGATATAGCTAAATGACATCTCTATTGACTAACTTAAAAGGCTTGTGTTACTTTTTAATTGAATGAACTATACAAATTTTAACTTGAAGATACACCTTGTAGACCATATGGCAGTACAAAAGGAAAAAGACATTACCAATGAGATGATTTCTTCGAAATTACTATTAATTTCAGTGTTCTGTAAACTTTATTCTAGAGATTTTTTTTATCAGTACTCTTAAAGTATATACAAATTGATGAGTTTTGTTAAAGTTTTTATTGTTAATATCTCTCTTTAGGTCTGTGTACTGTGTTTTACTAAGCTCCCTAGGTAAGAAATAAAATTTGAGAAAAAAAATAAGATTAATGGTAGTTGTCTTTAAGTCAGAACTTCAGGTATAGCCAATTATGATAGAATGATTGTTGAGTAAAGTTAATATTGCTGTTGCTTTTCTGAAGCTGAAGATAGTTTATTGTTGTCTCTCAAGAATGTCAAGCAAAACCTTTCATGTTACATATTGACCTCAATTTCTCTGTGATACTGTTTCAAAATATATTATGTTAAAGGTTTTTAAAGTTATAAAAAGGTATACGTTTTTAATATAATTTATCTATTTGCCTGTCTATCCTGGACTTGAAGTAGAATCCTGTTGACACTGAAATAGTCTATTTAAAGTTGGGATTTATTATTAATATATTGGGTACACTTAAAATTTTCACAGTAGTCTTAACATGCTTGTTAAAACCATATGATCATTCTGTGAGTTATCTCCATTTTACAGATTAAGAAACTGGTTTAAAGAAATTAAGTGATGGAGCCTATATGCAAACCAAGTCCAGTATTATTTCATTTACCCCACAGTTGCTCCTGTCTTCATGCAATTTGTACAAAAGATAAACCACCTCACACAGCATGTGTATTCACACAAATAGAAAATATAATTAGGTAATAATCTAGGATGTTATTTTTTAATATATCGTTTAAAAGTAACTTTTACTTTTGTTTCTAGTAACTTTAGTTTTAGGTAGGTTTTTAAAATAACCTATTATAATTTGAATATTTCTGCAAAGATAGATTTCTAATGGTTTACATTTCTCTCTCTCTCTCACTCTCTCTGTTTCTTTCTTAATGAACATGATAGGTCAGAAATATGAATGTGCCAAGAGATGGAATGTACACTGTGTGACCACACAATGGTTTTTTGACAGTGTTGACAAAGGTTTTTGTCAGGATGAATTCATATACAAGACAGAACCAAGACCAGCAACCAAGACTATGCCTGATACTTCAACTCCTGCTGGCCAGATCAACACAATTGATAGTAAGTCTCATTGAGATTAAAATAATTATTTTTTTATGTAAGAATTTTCTTTTTCCAAAATATTAAGGGGGTACAAAAGTTTTTGTTACTTGGATGCACTCTGTAATGCTCATGATGTCAGGGCTTTCATTGCGTCTGCCATCAGGACAGTGTTGATAGGTAAGTTTTATTCCTCACCCCCCTTGCACCCTCCCCCTTCTTAGTTTCCAATGTTCTTTATGTCTTTTTGTGCCCATGTGCACCGATCTGTCAGTCATATCCCACTTGTTAAAACATGTGGTGTTTGTTTTTCTCTTCCTGAGATACTTCACTTTGAATAATGATCTCTGGTCCCATCCAAGTTGCTGCGGATGACATTATTTCATTACTTTTTATGGATGAGTAGTACTGCATGGTGTATGTGTGTATGTATACATACACACACCATATTTGCTCTATCCACTCATCTATCGATGGGCACTTAGGTTGATTTCCTATGTTTACAATTGTGAATTGTGCTTCAATAAACATTCGAGTGCAGGTATCTTTTTGATAAAATGATTTCTTTTTCTTTTCTTCTTCCCAGTAGTGGGATTGCTGGATCAAATGGTAGGTCTACTTTTAGCTCTTCGAGGAATCTCCATACTGTTTTCCATAGAGGTTGTACTAATTTGCAGTCCCACCAATAGTATATAAGTGTATCTTTTTTCCTGCATCCACCCTGACATATGTTGTTTTTTGACTTTTTAATAATGGCCATTCTAGGCCGGGCGCGGTGGCTCACGCCTGTAATCCTAGCTCTCTGGGAGGCTGAGGCGGGCGGATTGTTTGAGCTCAGGAGTTTGAAACCAGCCTGAGCAAGAGCGAGACCCCGTCTCTACCAAAAATAGAAAGAAATTAATTGGACAGCTAAAAATATATAGAAAAAATTAGCTGGGCATGGTGGCACATGCCTGTAGTCCCAGCTACTCGGGAGGCTGAGGCTGAGGCTGAGGAGGATCGCTTGAGCCCAGGAGTCTGAGGTTGCTGTGAGCTAGGCTGCCGCCATGGCACTCACTCTAGCCAGGGCAACAAAGTGAGACTCTGTCTCGGGAAAAAAATAAATAAATAAAATAACGGCCATTCTGACAGGGGTAAGATGGTATCTCATTGTGGTTTTAATTTGCATTTTCCCGATGATTAGTGATGTTGAACATTTTTTCATGTCTATTGGCCATTTGTCTTTTTTTGAAAAAATTCTGTTCATGTCTTTTGTCTACTTTTTGATGGGATTGTTTGTTTTTTCTTGATATTTTGTTTGAGTTCTTTGTAGATTCTGGAAATTAGTTGTTTGTTGGATATATAGTTTGCAAATATTTTCTCCCATTTTGTAGGTTGCCTGTTTGCTAATTATTTCCTTTGCTGTGCAGAAGCATTTTAATTTAATTAAGTCCCCTTGATTTGTTTTGTTCCTGCCGTATTTGCCTTTGGGGTCTTAGTCATAAATTCTTTGCCCTGGCCTATGTCTAGAAGAGTTTTTCTTACATATCTTCTAGAATTTTTATGGTTTCATGCCTTACATTTAAGTCTTTTATCCATGTTGAGTTAATTTTTGTGTATGATGAGAGATATGGGTCCTGTTTCATTCTTCTGCATGTGGCTATCCAATTTTCCTAGCACTATTTATTGAGATTCCTTTCCCCAGTATATGTTGTTGTCTGCTTTGTCAGAGATCAGTTGGTTGTAGCTATATGGTTTTATTTCTGGGTTCTCTATTCTGTTTTGTTGATAGCCTCATAGTATAATTTGAAGTCAGGTAATGTGATGCCTCCAGATTTGTTCTTTTTGCTTAAGATTGCTTTGGCTATTCGGGTTCTTTTTTGGTTTCAAATGAAGCTTAGGATTATTTTTTCTAGATCTGTGAAGTAAGACATTATTGGTATCTTGATGGGAATTGCATTGAATCTGTAAATCACTTTGGGCAGAATGGACATTTTAACAATGTTGATTCTGCCAATTCATGAGCATGGGATGTTTCTCAATTTATGTTATCTATGATTTCTTTCATCAGTGTTTTGTAGTTATCCTTGTAGAGATCTTTCACTTCCCTGGTTAAATACATTTCTAAGTATTTCATTTTCTTTGTAGCTATTGCAGATGGTATTGAGTCCTTGGTTTGACTCTCAGCTTGACTGTTATTAGTGTATATAGAAATGCTACTGATATATGTACATTGATTTTGTAACCTGAGACTTTGCTGAATTTGTTTATCAACTCTAGGAGTCTTTTGGTGGAGGCTTTAGGGTTTTCTAGACACAGGATCATATTTTTGGCCAACAGGGATAGGTCAACCTCCTCTTTCCCTATTTGGATGCCCTTTATTTCTTTCTCTTGTCTGATTGCTCTGGCTACGACTTTATTGTGTTGAATAAAAGTGGTGACAGTGGGCACCCTTGTCTCATTCTAGTTCTTAGGGGGAAGGCTTTCAACTTTTCCCCATTCAGTATGATGTTAGCTGTGGGTTTATCTATATGGCTTCTATAATTTTGAGATATGTTTATTCCAATCCTAGTTTATTGAAGGTTTTCATCATGAAAGGATACTGGATTTTAACGAATGCTTTTTCTCCATCTATTGAAATGAGCATATGGTCTTTGCTTTCGCTTTTGTTTATGTGGTGAATCACATTTTCTGATTTGCACGTATCGAACCATCCTTGCATCCCTGGGATGAAACCTACTTGATCGTGGTGAATTATCTTCTTGATGTGTAGCTGAATTCAGTTTGCTAGTATCTTTTTGAGGATTTTTGTGTCAGTGTTCATAAGGGATATTGGTCTATAGTTTTCTTTTTTTGTTGTGTCCTTTCCTGGCTTTGGTATCAAGATGATACTCACTTTATAGAACGAGCTAGAGAGGATTCTCTCCTTCTCAATATTATGGAATAATTTCTATAGGATAGGTGCCAGTTTTTTGTAGGTCTGGTATATTTGGCTGTGAATCCGCCTGGTCTGGGGCTTTTATTTGTTGGGAGATTTTTTATTACTACCTCAACCTCACTCCTACTTACTGGTCTGTCCAGGATTTCTGTTTCAGCCTGATTTAGGCCTGGGAGGTTGTGTGTTTCTAGCAATTTATCCATTTCCTCTAGTTTATGTGAATTTATCTATTTCCTAGTTTGTGTGCATAGAGCTTTTTATAGTACTCATGGATGAAATTTGTATTTTTGTGGTATCAGTTGTAATGTCTCCTTTTTCATTTCTGATTGAGGTTATTTGAATCCTTTCTCTTCTATTTCTGGTTAATGTGGCTAGTGGTCTACTGATTTTGTTTACCTTTTCAAAGAACCAGCTGTTTGTTTCATTGATCCTTTGCATTGTTTCTTTGGTTTCCATTTCATTTAGTTCTTCTCTGAGCTTTGTTACTTCTTTCTTCTTCTGGCTTTGGGTTTGGTTTGTTCTTCTTTTTCTAGTTCCTTGAGATGTGACATCAGGTTGATACCTTGTGATCTTTCTGTCTTTTTGATGTAAGCATTTTAGGCTATGAATTTTCTCCTTTGTGCTACCTTTTCTGTAGCCCATAGATTTTTGAAAACTTGTGTTCCCTTTGTCAATTTGAAGAATCTTTTGATACTTCTTAATTTCATTCAGTGCAGGTTGTTTAATTTCCATGACTTTGTGTGGATTTGAGAGTTTCCCTTGGAATTGATTTCTAGTTTTATTCCACTGTGGTCTGAGAAGATACATGGTATAACTTCAGTTTTTCTGAATTTGCTGAGACTTGCTTTGTGGTCTAGGATAGGATCAGTCTTGGCAAATGTCCCGTGTGCTGATGAGAAGAAGGTATATTCTATAATTTTTGGGTGGAGTGTTATATAAATGTCTGTTAGGTCCAGTTGTTCCAGAGTGCCATTTAAGACCACTATTTCTTTGTTTATTTTCTGCTTTGATGATCAGTTTTGTCAGCGGGGTGTTGAAGTCCCCAGCAATTATGATGTTATGGTTTATTTCTTTGCTTTGCTTTAGTGGAATTTGCTTTATGAATCTGGGAGCTCCTTTGTTAGGTCCTGTGTTAGGATTATTATGTCTTCTTGTTGAATTACCCCATTTATCATGTAATGACCATCTTTGTCTCTTTTTATCATTGTTGATTTAAAGTCAGTTTTATCTGATAAGAGAATGGCTACACCAACTTTCTCTTGATTTCTATTTGCTTAGAATATTTTTTCCATCCTTTTACCTTGAGTCTGTGTGGTGTATATCCTTGTAAATTAGATGGTTTTCTTGGAGACAACATATACTTCTGCAGTGATTTTTCATCTCTTCAGCTGTTATTTAATTGGAGCATTATGCTCATTCACGTTGTGTTAGCATTGATATGTGGGTACTTACAAGAGCTGTGAGCTTTAATTTTCAGGTGTTTTTACACTGGCGGTTATCTATTATGCTATGTCATGTATAGTGTGCACTAGTGAGCATTTCCTGGAGGGCAGATCTAGTAGCGACAAATTCCCTTAGTGTTTGCTTGTTTGGAAAAGTCTATTTCTCCATCATTTATGAAAGTTGGTTTTGCAGGATACAAAATTCTTGCCTGGCAGTTGTTCTGTTTAAGAAGACTAAAAATGGGGCCACAGTCCCTTCTGGCTTGTAAGGTCTCTGCTGAGAAGTCTGCTGTTAGCCTGATGATCTTTCCTTTGTAGGTTAGTTACTGCCTTTGTTGTTGCAGCTTGTAGGATTTTCTCCTTCGTTTTGACTTTGGCCAGGTTGATGACTATGTGTCTTGGAGATGTCCTGTTTGCTATGAATCTTCCTGGTGTTCGATGACTATTTTGTAACTGGATGTCTGAATTGCTGGTGATACTGGGAAAGTTTTCCTCAATAATTCTCTTGAACAGATGTTCCAAGCTTTTTGCTTTTTTTTCTTTTCCCTCAGGGATACCTATATTTGTATTAATATATTGGTTTGCTTTACATAGTCCTATATTTCTCTGAGTAATTGTTCATTATTCTTTATTCTTTTATCTGCATCTTTGACTGGGTTAGCTTGAAAGCCTTGTCTTCAAGCTGTGAAAATTCTTTCTTCTGCTTGGTCTAGTCTGTTGTTGAAGCTTTCTGCTGTATTTTGAAGTTCCCTAAGTGACTTTCATTTCTTTAAGTTCTGTTGTAGCCTTTCTTATGTTGTCTATCTCTTAAGCAACTTTTTCATTTTTTTCATTCATGTCCTGAAATATTGTTTTAGCTTCTTTGTGTTGGCTTTCAAATTTCTCAATTCCACTCATATTCTTTGCCATCTATATTCTGAATTCCATTTTTGACATTTTGACAATTTCCTTTTGGTTGGGATCTGTTGCTGTAGGTCTGTTTATTGTACTCCTTTGGATATATTGAATTGGCTTGTTTTTTCATGTTGCCAGAGTTCTTTTGCTGGTTTCTTCTCAGTTCAGGGCAGATAGGTTTACAGTGCTCCTGTTCTTTGCTGGTAACTCTCCTACTTAGTGAGAGGAAGGAGAGGTCGGTCCCTAGGTGGCGCTTTTGTCTCTTTTCTTGGAAGACTGATCTGGTAGGAGAAGGGCGGATGCACAGCGATCTTGTAATGTAGCTGTCATACATTGTCCTGTTCCCCTGTGGGTGTCACAGTCGACACCAGTGTTGGATGATCTTCGTGTGGAGTGGTTAGTCCCTAGGCTACTGTTGGAAGCTGGGGCAGGAGGCTGGGTGAGTCCCCTATCCATGGAGGCAGGTGTTGCGGAAGATTGCTCTGCCTGGGTCCCCTCCAGCGGTGTCGGTGGCTGCTTGGCAAGGCTTTCTGGGCAATAGCCACAAGTGTCAGAGCTGTGGGCGTTCACTCCACCCAGGTCTAGATGTAATGGTGGTATGTGGCGGGGGGAGTGGTTAGTGGCTGACAGTCCGTGGTGGAGAGCTGGACCGCAGCCATGGCATCGGCAGTACTACCGAGTGTGGCCCGCCACTGGCGTGCAGGTCATTCTTCAAGGGCATGGTCCTCCACGTGGCATACGAGTTCGTAGGGTAGTGGACCTCAGTGCCGTAGTGCTTGGGGTCAGTGGGCAGGGCCATGTGGCTGGGATGCTGGGTGGCTGGGGCTCTGTCCTCACACAGGTCCCACTTGGGCTGCTACTGTGGGACCTCTCCAGTGGCGTGGTGCCCACTCCATTCAAACTCCCTGATGGAGGAGGGGCCTTGGCCCCCATTCACAGGCTTGCGAGAGTGCCTGCTCTCCCTGCCCGGCAAGGGGCTGTGTGGGGGCAGTTGCAGTGAAGCCAATCCCGGTGTAGACTGAGAGCTCTGGGTCTGAGAGCTCAGTGTGGTGTCAGGATGGCAACCCAGGAACAGAGGCCAGCGAGTCCCTGCTGAGCCTGCTCTCCGATACAACTCTACTGTACAGTCTCCAAATAGTTCCCCGATCAGCAGGGAGGCCTCCGGTGGTGGTGAGACCCCCCCACAGCTCGAGTCACAGTGTCCACATGGAGAACTGCGGGCCCTGGGGTTCTCTCCTTTATCCCTTTCCCACATGTAGGGGTCTTCCCCAGGTAACTTCCAGTCTTGATGAGTGGATCTCCCCGTCCTGTGTCCTTCACTCCGAGTGTCTCCTGTCTCCTCTCTGATGATTGATTCTCTGTGCTCTCTCCAAGAGGGTCCATCCATAGATGGGCATCTACTTGCAACTTTGATCCTCTCCTTGACAAGCCGCGTGTGTGTGGGCTGCTTCTAGTCTACCATCTTGGCCCCTACCCCTCTATGTAAGAATTGATGTTAAAAGGATCGCTAAGATAGGGAATTTCTTTTTTTTACTTTTTCCTTTTTTTACTATGCTTCTAGGCATAATTATGTAAGATAGCCAAATTATAAAAAGTCCAGAACTGCTCCTGATACTCTTTTTAGAATGAATGATTGCTTTGATATAATGCAAGAGATGACTAAAGAAATTAAGAACATTAATGGATAGAGACTTAAGATAAAAGAATTAATCTTTTAAACTTTACTGATGTACAAATATTAATAATACATTTTCTTTGTTTACTATTTCACTGCAGTTGCTATAGATTATCTGTATTAGTATAAAAATTAGTTTTTGTTTTATAGGTGCCACATTGATGTAATGTTAAATTTTTGTTTTTTCAAATGTGAGCATCTTTGACCTTAAAGTCAGCAACTTCAGGTTTTTATGGGGAACAAGCTACTATTAAAAAATGTATGAAATATATTTTCATTTAAATAACATATGAGCCTTAATTTCATTTTCTTTTTCATACTTTGCCATCAAGATTTCAATAATTACCTCAGAATCTTACTTTGGAAGTTGTTCATAACCCTTTATTTGTAAGAAAAGTTAATTAGTAGAAAATATGTAATCACAATTATTTTATCTCCATACATTTATACATCTTTATTTTTTATGTAGGTCGTACTCTTTCAGATGTCAGCCATATTTCCAACATAAATGCGAGTTGCATAAATGAATCAATATGTAATTCCGCTAATAGCAAATTGGAGCCTACACTTGAAAATCTAGAAAATCTGGATGTCAGTTCATTTCAAGCACCTGAAGATTTATTAGATGGTTGTCGGGTACGTCTTTATTATGTAATAAATGCAGTAAGTGATAATATATGTTAGCACTCCCCAGCCTGACTTTGAAGACCCTTCAGAGTTGGGCTTGCTCCTTATCTATGTAAGTCCACCACTTTAGCTAAACAGATGCGCTGACTAGACCATGTCTATCGTTTGGCTGTCAACATCCCTTTGCCTGGGATGTACCTTCATCTTTTATCCTTCAAACTTCATCTTCTCTGAACCTTCCCAACAACATTAATTCCACCTACTATATTTGGACAGTACTTAGTTTCTGAACCACTTACTGGATTTTTATTTATAAGTATCATTTGTTAAGTGTTTACAACGTATTTGACACTGTGCTAATTATTTTTACATGTTATGTTATATATAATCTCATTAAATTCCCACAAATAATTCTAAAATGGATATTATCTTGAGGCTAAGACTTAGAGGATTAAAATTCTTTTTCAGTGTCACACAGACAGACATTAAATGGCGAGGCATTCAATACAAAGTCTGTATTCCTAACCATTAGAGCCACTATGTTTGGTATCTCTTGGGTTACTTAATTTTTTAGCATATTAATAACCGTCGTGTATGTTTTTTGACAGAAACATCATATGCTGTACTTTTTCAGATCTCATAGATCTAGATGAATATGTAATATACTCCTATTTGTAGAATGACTAGGCTATGCAGTAATTCTCACAGGGCAGCAAAAATTTAATTCTGCTTTATTGTTAAGAAGGGAAATTGGGCAAATTACCTAAACATTCTATATGTCTCCCATCCAAGTACTAACTAGGCCCCACCCTGCTTAGCTGCTGAGATCAGACGAGATTGGGCATGTTCAGGGTGGTATGACCGTCGACGTCATTCTATACTTCTAAAAATTAACCAACTTATTGGTAGAACAGAAAGTGTTTTGCATAATCTTTATCCTAGACTATACTAATTCTAGATATGACTTAGTTATTTTTTACTTATAGGATGTATATGATTCCTCTTTTTTGTTAAAATATATTCTGGTAATGGAGGTGATTTTGTTTGGGCTATAAATGCAGTTCAGAATAGATATTTCATTCTTAAATTTTTTTAAAGACAACTTATCTAAAATAGAGGTGGAAAAGCTTTTTATATTGACTAAATTGGTTTAAATATATACATTCTGATAGTTAAAAATAAATTGAAATAAATTATTGCACACATGTTATCCTCAAAGCGTCATGCTTAGTTCTTTGACTCATATTTTTTGCTTAAATTAATGCTGTGAAAAAGATACCTCAATTTATAGGTAAGAAAAATGGTTTAAAGAGCTGAAGCAACTTGTCTATGGTCATGTGGTTATTGTTGGCAGCTGAAAACCAGGATTTAAACCCAGGTTTTTAAAATTCAGATAGTTAACTATAGTTTATTTCTATAATTACTTTAAGATGTACAAGTAGTAAGGCTGTCAAAATTTAAGAAGTTACCTGCATTTTATATTATTATTATTATTTTTTTCCCCCATCAATAGAGAGACCCAGAGTTACCTGCATTTTAGAAATTGGTATGCACTAATATTCAGAAGATGTTGGATTCTGGCTTCTATTTCATTTATAGCCTCAAAATACTTATCAAGTATCCATTGGGGAAGATAATGCTATGTATGGGATTGTAAAGAAGTGATTTATAAAAATAGAAGTTTCAGAATTGTTGAAAATTCAGAAGTTTCAGAATATATTTTTTTGTATATCTTAAAATGTACACAAGTTGTCTTATTTACACAGTGGACTTAGTTATATGTTTTTAATGAATTTGTTTCTATCAAGAGAAATAAAGTATCTTAAATACATTAATCTAAAGTAATTTCTTTCTTTGCAGATATATCTTTGTGGTTTTAGTGGCAGAAAGCTTGACAAACTGAGAAGGCTTATTAACAGTGGAGGTGGAATTCGTTTTAATCAGCTTAATGAAGATGTAACTCATGTTATTGTGGGAGATTATGATGATGAACTGAAGCAGTTTTGGAATAAATCAGCCCACAGGTTTTGTCAGTTTTTAGTTCAAAGCAATTTCTACTACTGATTTTTCTTAAAATTCCATATCCATGCAAGTATGGGAACCGCATGGCAAGTGGGATGATGCTCTTTATGGCTTAAACTAATACATATGTGTTATTTTTGTAGGCCTCATGTAGTGGGAGCAAAGTGGTTGCTAGAGTGTTTCACTAAAGGTTATATGCTTCCTGAAGAACCATATATCCATGCCAATTACCAGCCAGTGGAAATTCCAGTTTCAGATCAACCTGAAAGTAAAGTGGTGGTTTTAAAAAAGAAGAACAGCGGCTTCTCTAATGAAAAGCATGAGCAAGCTGATGAAGAACTGCTCTCTCAATATGTCAATAATAGTTCCACAGTAGGTAAGAAATAATTGATCAGTGTTTGCAATTACTAAGAAATATTTTAGTAGCCTAATACATACATGTATCATTTCTGCCAAGTTTTCTAGATTTTAAGTTAAACTAACCTTTTTCTTTCCTTAAAATTTTGTTCATAACCTTTTTCTGAGCAGGCAGGGCCCATAGGTCCCTGAACCCTTCGAATCCCTCTCCTCTCTTCAGCTGACTGGCTCCATTTTGATCTGTTACTTACACAGGCATTGCTTGGTTTGTGTGTAAGTTTGTAATAGCATGAGCTTTTTATTTAAACCTTTGACAGATACCTCTTACTGGATTATTGTCATCTTTAATACATACAGCACTACACTGGGGACTATCACCTCAGTATGTAGTGTTACCAGTATAGTAAGGTAGATTGCCAGTGAAGAGTTATAAACACTATTTCTTATTTTAAAAAATATATTATGAAATATTTAATATATCCAAAAAGATATAAAGAATAATGTGATGTGTAACAATGCACTACTATCTAGCTATAAAAAAATAGAACATTACCACTGTGCCAAAATCCTCCTGTGAATTCCTCTCCATTTTCTTTATGGTTTATATCGTATGTATATATCTATAAACAATATATGCATTATTTAATTTTGTATATATTTTAAGTTACATAAATGATATATGGTATGTATTTTTTGCTACCCTCTGCTCCCATCATGAAAGATATTCTTCTAATCCAAGTCACTAGTTATGAATGTACCACATGGCTATGTGAATATGCCACGGTTTATCCTTTTTCTCATGAATAGACATTTTTCTTAGATCACTCTTTTGCCATTGCAAACAGTACTGAAGAGATTATTCGTACGGATGCCTCCTTGTGCATGTGAGCAAGAAGTGTGTAAACCTAAGAATGGCATTGTTGATTCATGGGATGTGTACATCTTCAACTTTCTTAAATAATGCAAATTGCTTTCTGAAGTATTTGGCCTAGCTTACCAATTTACTCTCCAAAAACAGTGAATAAGGGTTCCTCTTGTTCCACATTCTTCCAACATATGGCATTATAAGACTTGAAATATTTGCCATTCTGATGGGTGTAAAGTATGATCTCATTGTGGTTTTAATTTCATATCAAGATTACTATTAATAAATAAAATGGAGCATCTTTTTGAGCATTTTTTGCCCATAATATTCTAAGGTATCTTTTAAGTATTTGAATTTTTCAGTCTACTCATTTGTGGTTTGTACTTTTCTAATTTATATAAGAAGTTTCTCTAAGGTCAAAAAGTTACTCTGTATATTATTTTAGAAGTCTTAAACTTTTGCTTTTTCATATTTGTGTCTTCAGTCCATATTGATTTTGGTATTTGACATGAAGTGTTCTAATTTTATTTTTATGCATGCAGATAATCAGTTGTTTTCAACAGTTTTTATTGAATAGAACATCATTTCTCCACTAATTTGAACAGCCACCACTTTCATATATTAAGTGACTATTATGTGAAGATCTGTGTCTAAACTTTCTGTTCTGTTCCATTGAGATACTCTCCTGATAAACTGTCTTATAATTACTTTGTAATATGTTA